GTTCCCTGCATGTAGCCCAAGCAGCCGTATCGCCCCAGCTCCTTCGGGCGGAGTTCGTAAAACCACAATCTCTTATTTCCTTTCCTCAAGAAGTTTTGCTTTGGGGTTTTATTGGGGAGTGGGGGACTTCCTCACCCAAAGGGTTGAGCCCAGGAAAGCTCTCGCCCCAAATAAATCTAAAGGAAGGCAGGGTACAGAAATTAAAAAGGAGCAAAAACTTGCACAGAACTTTGGCTACAATATTGAATTGGATAAATGGGAAAAAAATTTGGGGAACAAACTTAAAAATGACACCATCAGTTGCATACAAGGAAAACAAGTACAAAATGTTTTGCAGATGGCACCTGGCACCAACAAGGTTAGCTAAAATCTCAACAAATACCTCCCCCAAATCCTGGAAATGTGAATCAATACATGGAACATGCTACCACTTATGGTGGACCTGTGAGGAGGCTAAAAAAAATTTTGGAAAAGGATCAAAAAGTGGCTAGAGGTAATAACAGCTGTTGAAACCTGAAGTTTTTTTTTTTTTGTTAGGAATAATGACTGTGAAATATAAAAAAGAAATTCAGTATTGAATATTACATATAATTACGGCGGCAAGGATTGCCTTTGCCCAGAAATGGAAAAAACAAATTAATTCCAAGCGAAGATGAAATAAGAAGAAAGGTGATGGGCTGTGCTGAAATGGACAAATTAACAAAAGAAATCCAGGGAAAAGGAGAAACAGAAAACTACCAGATATGGGATAAATGGTATAGGTGGATGGAGGAAAGAAACAAGGATCAATGAAGGAAGGCAAGAAAGCCCAAAAATAGTTGTTAAGGAGAATTAACACATATATATGTATCCAAGTGGTTTAAACTTACTAGAGATAATCAGCCAATATAACAGACAGAGGAGTAAGATAAGAGGGTTAAGAATAGTGAAATACAAATGAAATATAATAGAAGGGGAAATAAGGTGAGCGATATCGATTGGCAATTGCTATTAGAAAGAACAGGAAGCTCCTGTTCGTATTGTATTGTGTAAATGTGGTGTACGTCTAAGTTTTGTGTATGTGTATTTTACATGTTACATGCAAAAAAAAGACATTTGTGTGTCTGTCTGACTGCTGGATGACTCCATCCCTCCGTGAAGAGGGATCCTGGCCACTCTTCCTCATTTGGCACGTGCCCAGAGGAAGAGAGAGGAGAATCTCCTGCCTTCACCATCTGTGAACTGCTCTTCCGGCCCGAAATTGGTTTTGCCATCTGCTCTTCACTGTCACTCACTGTCACTGGTTTGAGATGGGCAGCTGGACAAAAGGGAGAACACAACTCGGTAAAATGCAAGGAGGTTATATAAAATCCATCTTCCCATCCTCTCACCCGGTGTGACCAAACCCATTTAAGCCCATTATTTCAACCCGTCGACAACTCGATGCAACTTTGAACCCATCCATCCAAGCATAGGCAAACTGTAGCCCCCCCCCCCCCACCAAAATCATTTAAAACTAGGGAGGGAAACCTCATGTTCCTTCCAGATTATTTTTTAAAGAAGTTTTATTGCAATTTTTTCTTAATTTCCATCATACATATACTTTAGGAACAGAGGGTTAACCAAGTCACATCTTATACATCACGTTTATAATTATAAATGTATTTCAATATATTTTAATCTTGCCACTTTTATCAATATTCATCTCTTTTATATAATGCTTTATCTTTCCCCCTTAATCCATTTAATCTTACATATCATTGATGAAGATCTTTTTCTTTTGGTCTTCAACTAATTACTATTAATTCATCTTTATCATTTTTAAACTAATCATTTATCGCCGTAGCTTTCTATTCCCACTTCAACAGTATTGTTCTCTTTACGTAGTTCTTTATCATTTCTTATTCAATTTTTACACATAGTTAACATCACCGAACACCTGTATTTCACCATTTTTTACAGTTTTTTCCAGTTGTTTACCCTATTTCTTCTTCCCAGAAAATATCTCACAAATTTCCAACATTATTTAAAAATTAACATTATTTTAAAAAATTACATTAACATTAACATTAAAAAATAACATTATTTTTAAAAAAACTACTTTCAAAATTAATGGTTTTGGACCGCTTAGGATCCAGTCTCTTTCAGCCTGGGGGATCCCTGCTACCCCAGCGAGGTAGGCAGAGATATAAGCAACCTACTGTTACTTAGAAAGTCCCCTGCTTCTCCACTTCTTGCTCTGCAGGTGAGTGGACAGTTATCCGGATTGACAGCCTAATCTGCCTCAGAAGACGAGTATTTAGCACTCTTATTTTAGAATGGTGTTTCTGGGATAAAATTGGGATATCAGACTTGTAGATGCTCCGAGTTTACATGGGTGTATTTGAACGTTGACCTCCAAGTCCATTCCATTCAACTTGAACTTCCTTCTGTATCTTCTACGGCAGTAGGACAATCCTACTTTCTTATTTGGTGCTCTTGATAGTTAAAACAGGTCAAGAGCCCGAGGAACCAATAGGTCCCTCAATAGGTTGATGACTGGGAAGTCGGGGG